TGCGATGGTGTACAATGTATGGAAGTTCATTATTAAATTCAAAATTTATAAAGGTGAACTTTTGTGGATGTAAAGGACTGACCGATGAACAGTTAGGACAGGCGAACATTGTATCGGAATCAATTTTACCAAATGGAACCATTTACTCCAGCAAACAATTTTAATAATGGGTGTGCGTTTGGGTGTGAATGAAAGATATCCACACTCTCAAAAATAAACAGTTCTAAATCATGGAATATCGATGTTTGTCCGCTTTACTTATTGTATAAAAATACTTTGGACAATCGTCTATTAACGAAATTACTCCAGTTTAATGAACAAAAAATGTCGACAATTTACAAAAACGTTTATTATATATTCTAAACAGTTTCATTTTCCACTTGAATATAATCAAATGATATTTTATTGAGTTTAAATAAAAATTTATTAAATCGTTGTGAAAATATTTTTTATTTTTTGAAAATGCATGTTTCAATGAATAGTCATCTAATTTGAAAATGAAACACTTATGAAATTGTAGCTGATTGTAGTTGAGCGAATCGTATTTATTTTGTACTCTTACCTATTGTAAGATATACCTGCTAGAAAAAGATTGATCTATCGAGAGACTTCCGATTGTAACAACACTGGTTGAAATATGACACAGTAATGCTTCTAAAATAGATCTGTTAATACAGAATAGGTCCAATAACAGAATAATCTATGATGAGATATATAATATTCAGAAACTATTCGAGGTTTTTAAAATATTTAAATTGAAATATTGTCGCATTCATTTTGCTTGTAAAAATCTCTGTAATGTAATACACTTTTCACATGCTCCCTAGATCGTGTAACTGACTTGAATTTTTCTATTGACATCAATATACTCAGCTGACAGTAAATCAATTATAGTCATATGATGAAAGTAGGCGCAGGAAACAAAATTCTCACTGCAGAAAATTGCACCACTATAATTAAGTAAATTAGAACTGTATAATGAGAGATGAAGAAGAAATTAGTGCATATTAATTATTAATTAGAAGAGCGCAACAGAAATGATGGATTTGTTTCACTTGTATTTATGACCTTAAAATGCACTTTTGCATCAATTTTTTTATTTCTAAGAACAGATGCTATTACTAAAGCTTAGACGTCAGTTTCCATGAAATAAGAGTTTCGAAATTTTTTTCGAGAGCTTCCGCGAAATGCCAACTCAAAAAAAGAAATTATTATAAAAATGATTGAAAAGTAGAGCAATGAAAATTTTTTATAATTATATGTTCATTTGCAAAGTGACAACCCATTTTTCAGTATGATCTATATTCAACAATCAATGTGATAAAAGTAGGAAGACCTCATTTAGGAAATCAATTATGTGCGCTATTGTTTATATCCGCCTCATTTAAAGGCATGTGATCTTTTTAGAATAAATAAAGAGAAGTCCCGTGCTTTTTAATTCTTTACTAAATTTCTTGGTCATTAAGAGTTTCTTTCAAGCCTATTCTTTAAAGAAATCAAAATCTTCTCTGATTTCTTTAGCAAGAATAGCTTCGTTAACATCGATCTATTTGATTGAAAAAGATTTATTTCGATATGGTGGTCCAATTTTAATCGTTATCGGTAGTATTAGTTGTATACTTAACTTATTGGTATTCATGAAAGATGGTCTACGAAAAAATCCTTGTTCCGTTTGTTTTATAGCTATTAATATGACCAATTTTGCATACATTTATTTGGGTTTATTATTTGTTGTACTTCCATCGGGTTATGGAATTGATCCTAGTACAAACAATATTGATTTTTGTCGATTCCGTTACTATGCTGACACGATTCTTACTTGCTGGGAATCGTCTTATCTCATTCTAGCATCAATTGATCGAACAATGATCACTTCACGAAATGCGAACACAAGAAAAAGAAGTACACGCCGTTTGATTTTTATATGTATAATCAGCATTGCCATATTCTGGGCACTTTTTCATAGTCATGCATTGATTTTTGCACAAATTCTAGGGAAAGGACCGACTTATTTTGTTTGTTACTATCAACCAGGTGCATATACAACATTTATAACCTATTATTCACTTTTCATCAACGGATTAATACCACCTTTCCTTATGATTCTATTTGGTATTCGAACAGTAAAAAATGCCCGGCAATTAGGACGTAATACAGGTCCTGCCAAATCGTCGAATGTTGGCTCTGTATCAGTAGGTGGAACACATATAGTTCAATCAAAAGATCAACAACTTATTCGGATAGTACTCGTAGATATCATCACCTATATTATCTGTAAATGTTCAGTTACATTGTTTCTCATCTATCAACAAATCACTCAATATCAAATGAAGAGTGCACAACAAGAAATAATTGAGCAATTAGTCGCACAAATAATATATTTCGTGTTTTTCATGGAGACTTCTATTGGCTGCTACACGAATTTATTAGT